GCGATATGAAGGCAATGGCTAACAGCAACTCAGCTACAGCAACCACGAGGCCTTAGGCAGCAACTGCGCATGTGCAAGTCTCACACCGCTGGCCAGCACTCCACTCCCAGTTAACTTTGCTTAAATTTAACCACATTTAATGGTTCCATCCCAATTAGTTAGTAGTAACCATTGCTATGTCCAAAATGCTCGAAGGTTTTGACAGAACATCTCAAAATTGCATTAATTGCATTATAACATACAATTATTGTTTGTTTTAGACTTTGAAATCTGTGAGCATCCTTGAGTAGGATATTCTTTTGCTTAAATAGGTATTTGAGGGGAAAACAAATGCATTTGTAACATAATTGGTAGAGTTGGAACCATGAATCACACATAAATATTATGCTATGAATATATTACTTTCATACAAGAGCTTTGTTTTGGAAAGCAAAGAATGTTGTGCATTATTTGGGTGACATTATAAAACCTGGAAAACCAATTCACTTTTTGAATAGCTTGCCAAGTTCTCAGTCTGGATACAGTAGCTCTCATACATAAAAGTAGGTAATTCATACTGCAACAAAAAATAACTCATATGACCTTTATCAATCCATGGAATTCATCCTGTTCCTTGTTGACATTAATGCACTTGCTTAAGCATGCCAGCCATTACCAAAGCACAGTTTAAGCAATAAAAATATCTCACTGCAAAAAGATAAAAAAGAAAAGATCAAAAATTCTGCATAATTTTAACAACACTGTCCCACTATCTTAAGCATCCTGACACATTTTAGTGACACMAGCCAACACAGCTTGAAAGACCCAGACCCAAACACAGACCCCCATTACGACAAAAATATATAACTCATTATTTATTGCATCACTGAATACACTCAATTGAAGAATCGTTGTCGGGTTCAGAAACATAGAACATAGAAGCTGAGACTGAAATGGCACATGGGAAATATGTTAATTAGATGCATTCTGTGACCGGCGACCCATGGTATCATCCACCGTTTTTAATACGCGTTTGGCATTCTAAACCGATTGCATGGATGGTGCAAATGAATAAATTATAATATAATTATGTCATTTCCCATATACCATTTCGGTCTCAGATTTCTGAACCTGACAACGATTCTTCAATTGAGTGTATACATGCATAAAAATATCCAACCACATCAGTGGCAGATTTTAAAAAGTGGGGTTCCAAAATGGCAGCCACAGAGAAAAGGCTGTCGTTATTGCCTTCGAAAAAGGGGTTCCAAAAACATTCTGCTAAGCATAAAGAACATGTTGATTGGCTTCACAACATATCAGAAGGGAGGTTACATCAACAACTGCAAATAACAATTTTATGTAAAAACATTTGGTGCTTTTGTAATGATATTACCCTGTGTGCACCCACTATAAGTGTAAGTAATTTCTCTCGCTTTTGCACTCAAATAAGCCTATATTTTTCACTCTCAAAGTGCACATCATATAATAAATAACAGGCATACTGTACTTAAAAAAACTAGAATATTTTGTGCATTTTGACAGTTTTGAGAATTTGTGTTAGACAGGGCAGATAACAGGAAAGAACAAGGTCACAAGCAACGTAGTGTGTATTCTTCCAGGTGGTAGTTTAGCCAACTTTTCTCTGAACAGCGAACACACGTGTGCAACAAAATGCTTTCAAACTAAGCGAAAAACCAAAGAACTCCATCAAAATAACACCTAGAAAGTAAGATATGGACGTCCTTTCAAAATATGGTGGATTTTAAAGTTCCTAGATATTGCTTACCGTGTCTAGAGGGCCATTTCGTCGACATTTCGCACCTTGGCTCGTCCGCCATCTTTTTCTTGTCGATATGAGACCGTAAAGCATGATGGGTTAAAGGTGCCCTGGAATGTTTGGAATGGCAGAGTTAGAAAAGGACTGCGGATCACATCAAATTGGATCCGTAAAGTTAGAAATGGAACAGGAGCTATTTTATAAAAGAAATAAAAAACTTGCTTGCTGTGCTGTGTGCCATTATAAAGCACTTTGGGACTGGCAGAACACTCGAGAAGTTTCCAGAAGCACTCCGCTACGCGTCTTGCTTCTGCTAACACTTCTCTCGTGTTCTGCCAACCCCCGCGTGCTTTATGACAGCACACAGCACGCGCGCGCGTTTTCTACTTCTTCACGAAGGCAGCCATGACACTTTTGCAGTGTTTTTTTTTTTTTTCGCGCAAAAAAGTCAATTCTGTCAAGAAAACTCATCTCTTTTTTCATCATATTAGTTGACCAGAAGACGAACTTAGTCGTATCTTATATTATGATGTTTAAAGCACTGGTTAATTAGGTTAAAATATTAGATTAAATAGGTATACACTGCAGTATTCTTGCTCATCTGGCTATGCACTCGTGTTCAGTCAAACATTTCGGCGCGTGCGCATGCAAAATTCCCTCCTGTTGTAGCATCTCCTCTTCTTCTTCTTTCTCCCTCTCCTCCCCCTTCCCCCACCGTCTTTGTGTCCTCGCCAAAGGAAGCCCAAGGAGCAAAAAGAGCCAAGGAGATGCCTGCGGAGGAGGCTAGGGGAAGCTAATTTCTTCTTTTCTTCATAAAGGAACTCAAGTTATTAAGTAGGGGGATCTAGGGAAGGGGTGCAGGGGGAGCGCACTCTCCCCATCCCAGATGAGCTGATAACTACTGCATTATTGGTGTTTCAGTTTGAAGCAAAGGAAGTACCCCGTCCTATAACGAAAATTCGTACAAGTTGAGTGTCAGATCTAACTACGCAAAAAAGGCTAAAGCAGTAGGTTGACTAGAAGGAATTTCCTTAGCCGGTGTGACTATCAGTCGGGATTCCTTACTCGGCCACTGTTCTTACCTTCTAGGTCTGTACCTCCATCGGCCAAGTACAACCCGAACTACAACCTTAGCCTTATTCACCACTAATCACAAGATTAAATACGTAGAAATAGCTAAATGGCTTGTCCTTATATAACCATGTTACGCTCATGTAATGACATCAACGAAGACCGCCTTGTTGTCCATTGTTTCAATCAGGTCGGACTTATGTGATGTTCGACGCTAGACCGGCTAAGCCTCATCTAATCTGAGATTCCATTTACATCGCCCGCGTATCTAGACAAGTTTAACCTTGGGTGGTTTCAAGGTTTAGGTTAATTTGAAAGAGGTTTGTAGAACGTAAACAGGAAACTATAAGTAGATCTCTAAGTCAAAACTTTCCTGCTATAGCTAGCCGAGGCGGTGAAAACAGTCTCGGTTACTAAACATTCTGGACTTGCAGAATCGGTAACAAAAGCACTTTACACAAGGTTACCGTGAAAGTTTAAGTGCACACACACCTAATGATATGCATGTTTTATTCATATCAATGACTTTCACGAATCGTACGGATATTGAGCCACACTGACGATCCGTATCCGTTCGACAGTATTGTACAAGATTGGACAACCATTAAATACGGTCATTTGAAAAAAGGATACTCTTAAATATGGTCAAGGATACCCTTAAATATGATCATTTGAAAAAAAGTATATTCTTAAATATGGTTAAGGATACCCTTAAATATGGTCAAGGATACCCTTAAACGCGGTCATTTGAAAAAAGGATACCCTTAAATATGGTCAAGGATACCCTTAAATATGGTCATTTGAAAAGAGGATTCTTGTAAATATGGTCAATCAATGGGAGAAGTTCGTTTAGTTAAGTCGTTAAGTTTACAGACCTTGTTAACTTTGTTGAGAAAGAACCTAGAATAGTTAGCAATCCGAGGTCAAATAGTTAAAGCAAGAAGCAGTTATCAATGTAAACTTGGTTCCAGTTCCAAAAATCAATGAAGGTAAGCAAATTCATAGGGCTAAAATCATGGTGACTCAGGTAGACCCGATGACCGGTTACCCAAAGGCAAAATGAAAATACCACTATACTGAAAAATTCCACTAATAGGAACTGTGTGTTCTGCAACGAGACGAATCGCACTTTGGAGTTCTGAAACGTCCTTAGACGTAAACCTTACAGAGAACGCAAAGCTTTATTGATACAGAAGAGACTATGTTTTGGTTTCTTATCCACCATGCAATAACCATATGCCATAAAGAACAGTGATCAGAAGTGCATGTTGAAGATGGACAGCAGCGGAATGAGACACCCCATTGTGCTGCACTCGAATTCTTGACAATCCTTCAAGGACAACAAAGCAGAGACAGATATTGTTAATAAAAGTCCAAGATCCAAACAACATGAAGCAAGGATAGCAGTTATCATAAGAGAAAATAATTGTTTTTACAGACTAACAAAATGAGACATCAGCCTCCAAATAACTTATCTTATGAAAAGGAAATAAAGAATTATAAATAGCTATATAAAAAATGTCAATATATTATTTAAGCACGGCTGCCGTCACGCACAAGCTTGATAATTGGTATGCATTGAATTCACAAGTAAACCTCTTAGCTCCTCCTATTAGCAATTGCCCTATTTCACTATGACGTCACTGCTTGTTTATGTGTGGGATAGAATCGCCAAATCCAATTGAAAATTCAACTAAATTTGCTCCTAGCGAAACAGTTTAATCTAAAATGGCCTGGTTTTCAGATATAATATGTGTTAGTATGTACTAAAAAATATTCTGAGCAATTGTTGGCTATGCTACTTCTCTTCGTGGAATGATACGGGATTTAGAACAATTTTCGGTTAGTTTGCGTTGATTTGACTCCGTCCGACGACCATGATCCTTTGCGTTTAAACAATAGATTGTAGACTCTTCCACAGTCTCGCTCGTCCGTTCCGTCCTTACCCTTAGAGACTGTAATGGTAAAATGACCGTAAGGACTTATGGGTCCCAAAAACTTGGACCCAGCGTGCTTTGGGAACCAAAATACTCGTCCACAGTCTCTCTCGTTTCAATATTTTCAAGATGGCGGCGAAAAAGATACTCTCATTTAGATACTATGCAATGATTCATGCACTATGCACGAACTTGAATGTTCTATTGTTACATACTTGTCACTTTAGCAAAGATTTATATTTCTTTATATTCTTTAAAATTAGTCATCACAAGCTTACCGAAAATCGAAAATTTTGCAATCGGAATGATTTCAGTGATTAATGACTCATTGTAAACATACCTAATTAATAAACATACCTAATGCAATATTTACAGCACAGGAAGCCCAATAATAAACGCTCAGAATTTGAAATTCCAAACCTTTTCACGGTTTCCGACGCCATATTGCTTGGGGG